CAACTGAACTGATTCAATAGTTCATTTTATGCTAAATGTAACATTGGTACCCTAAGGATGTTTGTTTTACAATTCACTACATTTGCAATAATTATCATTTAATACAATCACTTAATACAAAATTGCTATTAACTCAGAATACCATTTTTGGCAAAAAATTCATGATAGGAGAGAAAAAAGTTCTTGGTCCAGTCATGTGGCCCAATAAATCTGGTCCTTATGGGGCAAAAATTACTGTTGGGATTAACCTTCTTTTCCGCCAAACAACATGATTGAAAATTGATTTTTCTTGAATTAACACTCACATCCTTGAAATATCATATCCAACATATCAATGCAATGCAATGGTCTTTTTTACTTCCCCTAAATATGATTAATTAATTACATTTTTGGATGTACGTTGAAATAGTGACTTTGTCCCTTATAATATCATGTACACCCCATTTTTTCTCAAGTGGAACTCCTATACATGGCCTACAAACAGGAGTATCATTACATTTTCTCAGTTCATCTCGTGCAGCATTCATCCCCTTTAAATCTAACCATTTGTTATAAGATAAAGTAGCTAAAACAACGGTTCTGTCATATTGGAAATTACTGGATAATTTGACGGAAATTGTCGATACTAGATATTTCACAGATTTCAGGTAAAATTGCATTGAATTCTATGAATAACAACAGTAAATCCCAAGTCATTTGTGAGATCTCTGTAATTATTTGCCATTGCCAACTGTATACAGATTTTTGAGCTTTGAATGAACATTGAATTTGTTTGTTAAATTCAAAAAGGAAAAAGCCTTGTAGGTGCAGTTTCTCATGAGCATTGTATGGTTTCATGGGCAGGCCGATTGCCAGCTTTTGCCAAGGGGGGTTCAGTTTGACAATTTTGGGTCCAAAAATGGCCAAAATCACTTAAAAAGTGCTCAGAATGATGAAAACTGCATGATTTCGAAAGAATTTTTGGCCAGAGAGGGTCACTCAAACCCATTGAACCCCCTGGCTACGGGCCTGGTGGGTATCAAAGCATCTACTACTAGATCTCTTAGAGAGAGTATTCGATAAAGAGAAATGCTAAGAAATCATAATGGTACTACAGATTCAACAGATACTACAATTCCTAATTAGTAAATAAATGAAAGGGTGTTCTAGAGAGAGAACCCAAGGCAAACACCTAGAGAATACTGAATGTAAATAGATACTCCTAAAGGTATATTTAAAGTCTGGTTTAACAGTCATGTCATCATTGGCCAAAGCCTCCTTTGTTCAACAAATTACTTACAGAACCAACCTGGCCTGTTCATTGATAAAAACAATAACAGCCAATGGAAAAATCAATGAATTAGATAATGTTGAACTGGGAAATAAAGAACTTCAAGTGCATCAGATTGGTGTAGAAAATTCCAGGGAAAAGGACATGGAGATCCTGATATATTTGTAAAGGGTCAATGAATCACAATGGTATTTGATTAGTTTGGCAAATTGTTCTTGGTGGGTTAGGGATTAGATTAATCTCAGCTTCATTGAATACCTTGTAAAATAGAAGAGTTGATTTCTAGGATATTAGGATTCATCGTTTGATCAAAATAATCATAAATTGTCTCCAGTTTTAATTGTGATTATTTGGTTTGATTATAAAGTGTCCTTGGCAGAAATTCTTGTCTATCAGTTTAATCAAATATATTGTGACATTATTTCTCAGATGCGTATTAAAGGGTTTCAGATTGACACCACCATTGCTTGATAAAATGATATTCGAAATTATCAACTTTATCATGTCAGAAAAAAACTTGTATCTTATATGAATTCCTTCAGTTTGTGGAATATGATCCAACAAGACATATTGTTGGAGCTAAAATTAGATATGATTTCACAAATGATTTTATATGCAAGAGTGATTTCGCATTCATTGTTTTAAGGTTGCTGTAACTAATAATCATCATTTTTACATCATATGAGTATCAGTTATGGACTTTAATTTATTTTTCAACATGTGCATTTTCATTGGTCTTAGGTATGGTTAAAATGTCGTTTGATATTGTGTTTGTGATAGTGCTTTCTGAATGTGCACCCATTTTTATGTCACCACCAGAAGTGGATTGTGTGGCGTTCAGTGTTTGGTGGTTGGTGTTTGGCATTTGGTGGTTGGTGTCTGTAGCAAATGGTAGGTGGTGACATTTAGTATGTTAAGGCCTTGTTGAAAATTTTCTGCTCAGCCCTAGATTCCATGTAAAAAATGATGTATGGGCACATATGGCCATTTCATTCTTAGAAGTTTAGACAACAGGCAAAATTCATTATCGGAAACATGATTTTAACAGTTGCAAAAATTCTTAAAAAAATTCCTCAAAAAAACAGATGATTCCAGCTAAAACAAAATCAAAAATAGGAAACAACCTGTTGTCTGTTCTCAAGAGGGGACAACCCCCACCCCAACCCCCACACAAAAATAATTGAAACATGATGATTTATTGGCAAACAAATTCCTGGTATGTACTGTACATCTATCATAATTACATAGCAAGATTTCTAGTAGCACTCAATTCACTCATCTAAGCTGGTAGTAATAAATTGAATCAATTACTTTAATGTAGACTTCTATTTCTAACAAAAGGTATGTTGTCTTCAATCAGATACTTCAGTTGTGAATTGTAGTACATCGTAACCAAAATCATTTCTATTTTCTTCTAGGTTTCTCATTAGAGAAATGCAAAAAGGTTTATTTTTAAGGCTTTTGTCTCCAAGGGTGAAATGAAATAGCTATTTTATGGCCATAATTTTAAGGTACAGTCTTGAATCAGTTTGGTACATATGAATAATTACCATTTGGATATCAGCTATGTTCAAATTGAAGATACTGCATTCAAATGACAACCCAAACCAACCTTTACCCTGCGTGCAGAGTCTAGTTAAACTACACTCTGCCTAGTAGAGACTTTATTACAGTTTAGTAGCCCCGCCCCCAAGACGGGTACCGGTGACAGTTTGGGTAAATCACTTTTGACCTACGCGCTGACCTTCCACCAATCAGCGAGCTTGAAGGAACATACGCCAAAATCGTTCTAATTAAATATGCGCATGCCATTGGTCAATTCCCGGCTCAACGATGACATCAGAAGGAATGTATCATATAAAGAACGTCGGTCAAATTTGGCCGACGAATACTGATTGGCGCGGTGAGATCACAGGTTTATTTTAGTTTGAAAGAGTGAAGACGGACCTCTCTTTTAAGAAGTGAAGTCAAACGAATGCAAAGGGTAACCAACCTTCCTTTCAGCCCACTGCTCAAAATTTCCCAAATCAAATATGATTCCAGTGTCTCAAAAATAGGCCCAAAAATAAAAATAATGCCCAGTAAGGCCAGTTTGATACCAAAATTGCCCGGTTTAGGCCCTAACAACTTTTGGGTCTAAATTTTTGGGGGGGCCTATATATTTCCCTCAGTTATGTGAAACACCTTAAAGATGCATTATACCATAGGTTTCTCCCCCAGACAATCAATGATGTCCTATTGTTATTGCTCATATAATACCTCACATAGCCTTGCCCAAGTCGGTATTTTTTACTTATCTGATCTTGAATTATTACCGCCTTGTACAATCCAATACATCTCCGCTGTTATTATGCTGAAATATTCAACGGTTTCGAGATTTCCATAGTACCTACGCTATTAGGGGTATCGCGAAACCTTATTGATTGACAGATATCGCGTGGACATGACGTGTGACTGCAGGCTGAATGACCAATCAAAACGTTATCGGGTTGAGCTGCATAAACAAAACAAACTTCCCATCTACGACTTGAATTTCAATGATCTGATCGAGTGTTTCTTTAGAGTTACAATATATTATGTAATAAAATGTACATCGGAAGGTAAGAGTCATTAATATAAATTAAATCATGCGATTCAATGTTGATTTAAAACTGATTTTGCGATGAAAATGCACAAAGACCTAGTCTAAATGTAGCGGGTCATGTTGTCGTGGATCGGTGATTGAATCTCCGCCTACGTGTTCAGCGATCGTTTCAACGTTTATTGTTGAAATCTTCTCACCTTTGGTTATCCGATCGATGCCCCGGCATCCACTAAACTCTCATTGATATTTATCTGATAAAATATTTGTATTTTCATGATGAATTCGTGCTCAGATTCTTGCAAGATTTGTTCTGAAAAGTCCCGATGAAAAGTGTACTTGTTTTTGACCTTGCATAATAATGAGCTAACGCTACAGGGCCGTCGTTGATTGGTCAGATTTTACCGACATCAACAAACTGTCGGTAAAGCACGTGGCTTTCTCTTTGGTACAAGGCGGTCATAATAGAAATCAAGATAAGTATAAGGAGACCGACTTGGGCAAGGCTATACCTCACATACCATGGATATATCTTGAGAATAACTTTTGGGTATATTATTGCCGAAATATCGGAAATAATCAACAGAACAACCAAACTCCAGAATTTAACACAATCGATTCCTTGGCTAGCGAGGGGAATCCCCATTGAGTCACACAAGCGCCAACAAGCGCCTTGAACCAGGCAGCCAATCAGGTTTATGATAAACAAATTCAACGACCAATCGTTGATAACAGGAGGACTTTCCCGGTACATTCAAACTTCAGATTGAATAAATTTCTTCGAAAATAATTAGATTGGCCAACACAATCACAAAATTAACACTGAAAGAGGGGGATTTGGGACTCCTTCTTTCGTAAGTAGATGGGTATATATGTGGTGAAACTCAATATGCAAAAAAGTCCAGAGGGGTCTTGATTGTGCTATCCTATGGCATAGAGCCTCTTTAAGGTAGTTCTTCACTTTCAAAAAATATTGAATATTATTGAATATGAGTTCTTTTCAACATGATTTATAAATGATCTATAAACAAAATTGAAAAATATTACCTTTTTCATTAATTGATGTTGTTTGTTATAATCATTGAAATAAAAATTCTCAGCATGCATATTTGCCAGAACAAGATGTACATTAACTGTTTCTATTTCCAGATCCAGTGTGAAATAACTAGTGGAGTCACATTGAACTGCAAACTTCATTTCATATAAGACTAGCTGAAGAAGGGTAATGTATAAATATGAACATCAAGACACTGTTGGAGTTTGATTTGTATTTATAGCTTGGATTGTAAAAATCTCATTTTTGTGTTTTAACTCTATTTCTCCAAAAGGCGTGTGTTTGAGGGAAATATTAATGGTAAGGGGAATGGGTTGTGGCTAATACAGTGACTTAATGTTACACCTAAATAACGATATTAACCTAGATAACAGATTAAGCGACTTAACTTTATAATGAAAATATTAAAATAAAATCATAACAGTTTTAACACAGCTTCAAGAAATGACCCTTTCCATGTAATTGAATGGAGGAAGTCAGGTCATATTTTGCCTTTATCATATGATATGCAGCTATGAAAATGCAATACCATGGACATCTAATTAATAAACTAATTTCCCCAAATTGAAACATTTTTGAGTGATCTGGAAGTGTCATTGTTGACCCTGAGAAGACCTGACGCCTGCAGAATAGAGACATGACACATTTAGAAAACTCACCTCTCATCTACTTTTATATCTGAAAACTCTGAGTTTCACTCAGGATCACATTAAAGTATTTGTCAGTTAAAGGGGCTACAAATGATAGAAACCAGTTGATTCACAATATTTTTTTATTAGTTTCTGAAAAAGAATCTGAACATTTTAATGATTTCCATATAATATGATTATATCTATTATATGTTTTTAAAATAATAAATTAGGAATGCACTATTGATAGACAAGCTGACATGCTTTTGAAAATATTGCTTCCAACATTCTATTCTTTGCTGCTGCTTTAATTGTGAACAATCCTACCTAAATGAAACGAACATTTGCTCCCTATCCACTAATGAAATTAATTTTTTTCTTTCACACATCAACTAATTTTGACGTGATCCCTTTTGAAACTTAGAAATGATGACACATGATATAATATTTAAATTGCATTTTTATGGCATTCATTTTCATGTCAGTACATACATAATTACATTTTTATTGAAGTAATATGATTATTTATACATGTGTTTGATGATCTGATGTTATGTATTACCCAATGTTATATGTTAAGTTCCTTCTAGCTTGTAATACTGAATGTTGCCACCAGTGAAGGTTGATCAGCAATACACATTAAAGGTTTGTTAATCTTTGTTTTTACTTCTGTGTTATTATACTGCCTTATCAGATTCTAGGGTTTATACAGTACCTTTTAGATATCTATGCATTTTCAGTGTGAGTGCTTTATGGCATTTCTGAATATATTTATTTAGTTCACATGAAATCTGATATTTTTCATATGGTGAAATCGTTTTTTGAATGTTGCCCTTTGTGCTTTGTTTTATGCTTTTAACACTCACACTTGTTAAGTGCAGGGAGTACTACAAACTTACATTTTATTATTAACTACTAATTTAATCATACTAACACATTCAAAGGATAGGTATCGATATGGTGAACTGAATTCAACAATGTTTTTCTCTTAAACCAATTATTTAAAACATTCTGTAAAAGAACATGGTCCTTTGTGTAATATTGACTGATTGGCTACAATTTCATGCAAAAATTATTTATATATATTTTATATAACTGTTTTTGTTAACATTTTTTGTTTTTTTAGTGCAATTGTTTTTTGTTCCTTTCTACCAATTCTTGAGAATGAAATAAAATGTCTTTCCGAACCTTGTTGGAACAAAATAGCATATACACCATTTTTATAGACCTCTCAATATTATAGTTTTACAAAGGAAATTTTGGTTGATTTAACAAAAAGTATGCAAAAACTTAAAACAAAACCCCCCAAAATAGAGAAAAATTAAGATAAACCTTTTATTTCATTAACAAGATACTTTTTTAAAATCAACCAAACTTTCCTTGTGTACAATTACAATATTGAGAGACCTAAACACATTGTGTTTAAAATGTCCTTTTGTTCCAATGAGGTTTGGATAGATGTTTCATTTCATTGCGAACATATGATACCAAGAACGAAAGAAGTGTCTGATGTGTTTTCAAAAACAATATAGAGAATTATAATGTTACCATCCAAAAGATGACCATTAAATTGACGATGTGTAAAATGTTCAGAATGTTTTGATGACTGGTCTAAGAGAAACGCATGTTCAAAAAGTTCACCATATGGATACCACTCCTTTGATATTGAAATACCATAGTCAAGGAGTCCATGATATTTGATTCAAAATGGGTAATATTGTGTTTTTGAATTAAAACCAGGTTAATGGAATTGATTACTCGACCAATACGTTACGCCTCTTGCGTATCTCTTCTCGCTCCACGCACTTCAGTAACTATACATTCGAGCATCTTGTATTCAGTCAGTCAACAGTCAACATACTTGTTTTCATTATTCTTACAATACCATCATTCATACGTTTTTTACTGTATTACAACTTTTTCTTGAACATCAATGGTCTTCAGATATCAGCATCATTTGCCGAACAATGTTGCGACAGAAATAGTTTGGTTTACCATAAAAAAAAAGAAGAAACTGCCTAGGACGACTCTCTGAATCCACTGGAGATACAGAATCACGTTAGTGAATAAGGACACTTAAATGTTCAAGAGATGAACAGACGTTGTATAAAAAAAAGTTAATCAACAGATGCACTGGGCTGATAGATAGAACATATTTTCACATCTTGGATATCTCTTCGTAATTATGTGCACAATGTGCTTCAGAACCAGATGGCATTTGCGATAAACTTTCGATGATCATTTCATCGGTTCGTCATTATATAACATTCGAGTGAAAGTGAGATTTATATACTCAAGGATAAAAAAATAGTATGGAGAAAGTATCTACCGAGCGATCTTGGCCCGAAAATAAATAGTCACATCACTCGGCCTTTCTCACGTGTCGTTCTCCATGGACAAATGTGTCAGCTCGATTTACAAAACCCTCAGGTTCGCAAATCAAAACTTGGCGTACGATTCCTTGGTTTCGAATCGGTTACAGCTATAAGGAACGATCAATAAGCATTTAACTATGAGTACCAAAAGACCTACAACTTGGCCAGACGTACTGTCTGAACCGATCGTCTCGATACTCAAAGCCAGAACCGACCACTACCCAGCGTGATTCCACCCACAGCCCGAACTGATCGCTTTAATACTCGAACGCAGGAGCTGAATAGAGAATCCGAGAAATTCTCCCCCTCTTTATATAACTACAAGGATGTTTTCGTATGATCTACCCAGACACAACTATATCGAAGAATGGTTTTGATTACGCGAAGGCGGATTAAACTACGTAGATACACAAGCAAGAAGACCACAATCAAGAAACTACACCATGTTATCCGATGGTGAGGGATAACAGAAGAAAGAACCCTTGCGACTTGGCATGGCTAGCTTCTCAGTTTCTATGTGATGAACTATACCCCACCTGTTTGACGAATTGTCGTGACACTGTCACATTGAACAACAATACCATTGATTCCAGCATTCTACTCTCTGTAACAATACGTCATCACTAACTTTGGACATGATTTCATTTTGAATACCAGAATTTCAGTTTTTCTATTCATATCATATAGGCGTCAGTAGACTGACGTCATCGTAGCACCTAGTGTTCCGATGCGTTTGTAGCATAGATTCTCGGCTTTAAAGCCTAATAGCATGAACAATGTGATATCTAAAATAGCTTCTAATGAACCTTTAAGTGGTTGTCATCACCTTTAGACTTTTACCACGCATGTTTAGGTTACACCTTAATGTATTGATAATTCAAATTGTTTAAACTTTGTCCAAATGGTATTTACCTATTTCTATTAAATGGGGTTTAAATGGCTCAAGCATTGCGAATTATTTTAGTATTAGATGCATTGTCGTTTTCACAGCCGCATGCTCTGTTTGCCATTTCGTTTAACCATTGGCTCTAGAGCCCATGGTTTAACGTACATTCATTTCTTCCCTAATTTTGTTTTGATAACTTCTGTTCTGCTACCTACATCATTAAGCTGCCTTAAGGATGATAACATAACTCAGCATGTTTTCGTTGCACACTGAAACTGTACGTTTATGCTGACAATGCAATCAACACCGAACGACACCCATATTTGTTTATTCATGCAATTTAAAGAGAGAATCAGATCTAGCGAACAGCCAAGCAAGAAATATTTTAGAATATTCCTGGCTTATGTTAATCCTTTTCATGTCTATTTTCTAACAATCACCAAAGTGTATATTTCATTTTAAGAAAACTAACCATTTGTACGATAATGTAATTTTCTGGTTACTATTTTTATCATTTTGAAGAATTTAAACATTTTGCACCTATTTTCGAACTTTGAACCCATTATAACTTTACCGATTTATAATATGTAGTGGATCTTTTGGGATATCGTATTTGGGATTGTTAGGAATAGATTGGCTGGCTGTTCAATTGAACAAGTTGATTGTAATTTTGTCACCCCCATAAACCTGATTCTGCCTTAATATTATGCTCGTTATTTCAGCTAAGTCACATGCACATGCCTTCACGCACTGAGCAGAGTAGCAAAGTGAATGGCGAGAGACATCTCACTGTGTTTTGATCATGGCATTTCTCTTTCTTATTAATTTCCCTTTTCAGAGTCCAGAAGCGTCCCCCTGAATCTTGAAATTCTACAAATCAATGTCCAATTTTCGAATACCAAGGATGCATGCATATTGGTTCTTAATTACAGATTATCAACATTTCGATATTTTAAGCATCAGAGGAAATCTGATTATATTTTCTTTAAGGCTCAACATTGTCATTTTAGAACAGCATAGCATGGATATCTTTATGTAAATGCGACCCGAAACTTGCTTCACCATTTACTATCTAACCATCACGCATCAACCCATGAGCGGGTCGCACGTTGTCAATGCCCTGTCTCTGGGCGTGCATTCGCAGGTTCAGCACTTGATGATACATCATGATTATTCATACTCTTCAATAAGTTCCTTTCTAGAAATATTCATGGTCATGACCTGCTGTTTCTCGCAATATATGCGACTTCTATACGTACACTGTGTTATTTATCTTAGGCGTAAGCTTTGTTGTAAAACCATTTATATCTTATAATACATGCATGTTTTGCATTTTTCTTTTGCATATTAAGATTTTACCATGGGATCAACAGTCATTTCGAGCCTATCACAATCAAATGCTGATTTTCTGCAGGTTTTTCCCACACAGGAGAGGCTACCAAGGCTCACACACGAAGCTAATTTCAAGTTTGATCATTTGCCAGTGCATTTTGCAATTGACTGAACACGTTTGATTTTAGAAAATATCACACATTCACAGGGTATAGGACGAACAATGCTTATCTAACTGCATAGCAGTCACGAAGCCTGAATGAATGTGAACTTTGCGTGTCAATTGAATTCTTCTTTCATGTGCGTTCATACATGTGACATGTGCATTCCTCTTCGCTGTTATTTTGTTTTGATATCATATCGGCAATTTTAAATTACTTTGTGTCATTGTACCTTTATTTAACCCCTATGCATTTTTACAATCCCTCTTATCTTATTTACTATATGGTCCTCGATATTTTATGTTTTGCCTAGGATACTTCACTTTGTGGTAACAACTTTGTTTTCCATATTTAGGGTCCGTACCGACACCTGTTGCTTAGACGTCATAACCTTATCTTAAGGACTAGGGGCTCACGTGTGCGGTTTGGCGGTTTTGGGGGCTGTCGAGTTGCGTAAATGGGTTTTGTAAAAACGCAGCGTCTTAGACTGACCATCGTAACCCCGGGAATCGCGGTGTCCACACTCACACCCCTCCCGGCGATGACCAGTCTAACAGACAAGCTTCTGCCATCTAACCAACCGCACACGCCTTGTTTTGTTATTTTATTGGGAGAGGGATCACAGGAATTAATATTGTGTTTTTGAATTAAAACCAGGTTAATGGAATTGATCACTCGACCAATACGTTACGCCTCTTGCGTATCTCTTCTCGCTCCACACACTTCAGTAACTATACATTCGAGCATCTTGTATTCAGTCAGTCAACAGTCAACATACTTGTTTTCATTATTCTTACAATACCATCATTCATACGTTTTTTACTGTATTACAACTTTTTCCCCACCCACCATCACCCCTTATTTCTTTTTTTTATTTCAGATCATATAATTCATGCTTGCCTTGAAAGGGCGCACGAATTCATGTCAATATAGGCCTGTCCCAAAAAGGTGCCTTCTTGTTGTCTCCACATGCCTGCCTGAAACACTGGTGCATGTTACAAAACTTTGCATGCCTGCCTGAAACACTCGACGTGCATGTTACAAACTTCACATGCCTGCCAGAAACACCGGGGCATGTTACAAACTTACCATGCCTGCCTGAAACACTGGTGCATGTTACAAATTTCACATGCCTGCCTGAAACACTGGTGCATGTTACAAACTTACCATGCCTGCCTGAAACACTGGTGCATGTTACAAATTTCACATGCCTGCCTGAAACACTGGTGCATGTTACAAACTTCATATGCCTGCCTAAAACACTGGTGCATTCAATAAATCGGTGGCGGGGGCTGTCGAGTTGCGTAAATGGGTTTTGTAAAAACGCAGCGTCTTAGACTGACCATCGTAACCCCGGGAATCGCGGTGTCCACACTCACACCCCTCCCGGCGATGACCAGTCTAACAGACAAGCTTCTGCCATCTAACCAACCGCACACGCCTTGTTTTGTTATTTTATTGTGAGAGGGATCACAGGAATTAATGGGCAAATTATATTTATCTCCACCCCATACTCATAGTTACAAAAAGGAACGTGGAGAGTCCTATCCTTATTTCCATCAGGAATATGTTACTTCCCAGAAAAATATGCATCTATAAGGCTTTCTTTGCTGGCGATTTATAAAAATTATTGTTGGGTTGTGTAATCCAATTGGTTTTCAGTAAAGTAAAGTTTGAGACACATTTATAATGGGTTAGTCTCTGCCTTACATTTGAACAAGATGGGGCAATAAATCTGCATGCTTAAAAAATGACCCATCTGTGTATTACTGTAATGCTTGTTATGGTCCATGCAGCTATGTACTCTTGAATTTTATCACTCAATTTAAGAATCTCTATTCCACTTAAGGGACAATGCTGTAGCACTTTCAGTGACAATAAAAAATTGACATTTTAAAAGTGGAATATATTGCTATGATATGTTGATATACTTCACATAAAAAAGTTCATATATTTCATTTAATCAGCACTCAATAGTAGATCTTTAAGATACACTGATATCTATTTTCATATTTATCAATTCAATTTCATTATTATTTTTATTTGATTTGATGAGTAAAACTAAAGCATTGATTATAATGCAAATAGAGGATATCCTATGATTTATGAGTGATATGATTTTTATCCACGAATGGATATGATATCTGCACGAGCGAGCGTAGCGAGAGAGTGCAGATATCAATATCCATGAGTGGATTAAAATCATATCACGAGTAAATCATAGGATGTTATTTTTATTCCATAGTTAAAGTCATCATCAGAATCGTCGGAAACTAAGTGATTTAATTTGAATTTTCCAAACGATCCGGTGATAATGACTCTTAGCCTCGTTTTGAGTCTGAAGTAGCAAAAATCCATAAACCATCGCATACGGCGCCGTATGTCATGGCTAAAAAACGGTATGCTATGGTTAAGTGAAAATTTGTCAAAAATATCATATTTTCACATGTTATTCTATGAATATCATGCTAACTATGGAATAGATATATTTACATTATAAATTGTATTTTCCAGAGTAGAAGGAGGGAAAGTGGAGAGCTGATTTGCAGAGTGCAGAACACCTGAGAGTAAGGGTAAGTTAAGATTAATTATCATGTCACCGTCACAAGTGGTGACATATTGTTATCGTCTCCACCTTTTTTGTGGACGGTGTTCAGCATTTTGGTTTCTGCATCTGTCATTCGGTGTCTGGCATCTGTAATAAATGTAACAAATGGCAGGTCGTGACATATTGTTTGTTAATGCCTTATCTGCATCTTCATATGACTCCCATATTCTGACTTTTTAGTCAACATATATTGAAAGATAAAATAGGAATTTTTATTTGACCATCTCGACCATGAAGATGTTCAGGTGAAAATATAATTTATGACTTTTCAAACAAATATAGTCAATATTATCTCAAAGATATTCTTCATTTAAACAGCATCTGTCTTTCATTTGGTGTATCCATCACGGATAGTGGGAAGTTCTACTATAAGCTGATTATATACATCAGGTAATGAAAGTAAAATTCCAACTCATTTCTACATGGCTATTGCGCATGCGTAGAGGGTGCATCTAGCGATCTGATTGGTCCATTTGCGAAATAAGGTGTAACGTCCCCTTTTTTACAAATTTTGCTATGGTCTTCTATTTGCAGTATTTTCTGGCCAGAATAGCATGATTGAGGTATGAATTAGTTTTTACTATATCATTTAGAGTGTTATCTTGGGTTTGTGTGACTGCCAAATGTGGATAATCATGATAAAGATGTGAATTATTTTTTTGAAAAATATCAATAATTATTTCCTGAAATTACCTTCATGACCTCTTGATCCTTGGTATCCATGCATCACACCACTGCACACAATTAGGGCTGGCACGGAACGGAATTATTGTCCGAACCGTCCGATTTTGCCTTCGGAAACAGAATTTCGGACCTACCTTCTCATATTCCGATAAATTTCGGAACTTTTGTTTCCTTAAAGAACATTCACTTATCGTTATACCGAGACGCTAACTCGCTATAGCGAACTAGTATTATGAAACGAAATCAATAAATATGTATAATTATTAAACATTTTCACTTGGTAAAGTTGTTTTATATGTAATAAATGATAGAAATAAATAAAGTATGATTGTTTTATATATATTCTGTACCTATAAGAAAAGATTATTATTGAAAGAAAGACAGTAACAGTTGTGTGCCAAGGTTCCAAGAAGGCAAGGACATTACCATTTTGCCATTAGTTTTGAACATTTATGCCACTTGTTCTGGCAGTTAGATAGTGTTAGGGTTTGTATTTAATAAACAAAATACAACTTATATATATGTAGTTGTACACTGCTGTTCCAATGGTGACAAAAATGAGAACTTAAGGGGAGAAGTAGGAACTATTTTAAATAAGGTCCGAAATTCCGAAAATTCCGAATTCCGAAGCCAAGTTCCGAAATCCGTTCCGTTCCGATTCCGTTCCGTTCCGTGCCAGCCCTACACACAATACATACAGTTTAGGTAGAAAATATGGTGAAACAATGTGACATATATTGTTATTAATGGCTTTATTAATTCTGACATTATTAACCTCCACTTAATATCATATAAGATCGCTAAAAGGGATTGAATAGCCTCTGACCCTGAATAATGAGATTCAGCGGTCTGGACATTCAACTTAATAGCTTTTACTCTTCATGGATGCCAAGTAGAGTTAACTTAAATCTTATAACTTCTGTGACTTGTAAAATTGATGTCATATGCAAAGTCCTACATGTACTACACCCACCTCTTATTTCATGTCTCATGTCCCTCTCATCTCCACGCTTATTAGCCTCGTATAATGAACTCATTTTCCCGCAATCTTTACAATTTATCAACATGCAGTTAGAATGTACAAGTTACAGAATTGAGGAATATATTAATAAGGACCATCCGACCATTACTGATTCTGTTACAAGAACATACAGTATATCTTATTGAACGTGGATGAAAAACAGCTTCATTTATTGGTTATATCAGACTTTCAAGTCATTTTTTCCTTCACCTCTCATATTAACCATGTTCACTTGAGACAGCTTGACAGATAATTAGAAATAGCTGTACTAGGTAATTAAATATCAAAGAACTACAAAATAAATTAGAATAAATTCGGTCAACATCTAAGACAATTTGCTATTATGTGCTCATTTATATGCCTTAATATATGGGTCTATACTGGGTGCTCAGAAAGTAAACTATTTCATTATACTGATTATATTTTTAATACTTGCAAATTTGAGTTAAATTTTCAGTTGTTTGCAATTTTATATAAAATTGGAAGTCATATACCAAAATTATAATAGCATTGTTTGCCAGAGCATTAACCTGGGTGATGCACTGATTTCAGTATGATGGCAGTGTCTCTCTGTCTAATGGTTGTTCGATTGTGATAATAGTAATCATGTATAATGTAGAGCATTTGTTTTTATTATGATTTATTTCTTGTTTGTTTGGTATTTAATTGTTGACAATGGTACTTTCATATATAGAACTTGGTTGAACCATATTATCTGAACTTGTCTGAACATGTAGTAACATGACTGAACAGATCTGAACTTGTCCAAACAGGTAGTAACATTGTTGAACTGATTTTAACTTGTTTAAACAGGTAATAACATGATTGAACAGATCTGGAGTAGTCTGAACAGGTAGTAACATGACTGAACAGATCTGAACTTGTCCAAACAGGTAGTAACATTGTTGAACTGATTTTAACTTGTTTAAACAGGTAATAACATGATTGAACAGATCTGGAGTAGTCTGAACAGGTAGTAACATGACTGAACTGATTTGAACTTGTCTGAATAGGTCGTAACATTGTTGAACTGATTTTAACTTCTTTAAACAGGTAATAACATGATTGAACAGATCTGGAGTAGTCTGAACAGGTAGTTACATGACTGAACTGATTTGAACTTGTCTGAACAGCAGGCCTGTCAACTGTCCCGCAATTTGCGTATTTGTCACGCATTTGCTGAAGAATTTGAAGTCAAGCCAGTTTTTTTTGCGTGACAGAAAATGTCACGCAAATACGCATTTTAACTGGTAATTGTCACGCAAAAATATTTCTGTAGAAAATTTTTCGAAATATGTTTACGATACGGTAAAAATACGAACGTCGGAAAAAAAACCGAACGCAATTTGTTCGGATTTGTCACGCGAATCCCGTATATGTCACGCATGTCCATTGGAAATTTTCGTACCTACCCCCCCCCCCCCCCCCCCCCCCCCCCCCCCCCCCCCCCGTTTATGATACCGCGAGCGTAGCGAGCGCGAAAAATTTGAGGTGATCAAAGTTTGGCAAAGGTGCTCAAACTTTGGCCAAAGGTGTTTAAAAGTTGGCCAAAGGTGTTCAAAATTTGGACAAAAGTTTTCAGATTTGGACTTAGGTGTCCAACATTTTGAAGTCACTCATATTAGGTGGTCCCAAGTTGACAGCCCTGGAACAGGTAGTAACATGGTTAAACAGATTTGGACTTGTCTAAACAAGTAATAACATGGTTGAACAGATCTGGACTTGTCTAAACAGGTAGTTACATGACTGAACTGATTTGAACTTGCCTGAACATGGTTAAACAGATTTGGACTTGTCTAAACAAGTAATAACATGATTGAACAGGCCCTGACTGGTAAAGGACTTATAAGTACAGTGATCAAAATTATCATAAACAGACCATATTTGTATAACATGTCCGAGCAGACTTGAACATGCAGATAGTACTACTGTAAAGGATGACTCAGAATTAATTAACTAAGTAAACAAAACAAAGATGGCTCTTGAAATTCCTTTGATCATTTAGAAAGATCTGAATAACAATTTTTAGTCAAACTGGAAACATAGATGTCTATTCTGTCATTAGTCAAATATGTTAGATATAACTTGCAGTGTTAGTCATTTCAGTTTTGCATTCAGTAATTAGATGGCACTTTATAAATACAAATATTCCTTTATCATTCAACATTTACATCATAAAATATATTCTCATGTGTCGTCATCTCTTCGTTATGAGTAAATATTCTCATAGATTTAAAGTAAACCTCTCAAGAAATCTAACAATTCAATAACTTTGTATGATGTTCTCCTTTGATAATTTTCAACACATAATCTAATAATTATACAATTGTTGATTAAAATCCTCATATCATTCAAAATACCGCAACCATACTTATTTACTGGGAATATAATTTTCTGGGTGGTATTCTGAAGGATATCATTCTTGAACTGGTGTGAGGATAGAATAATGAATTCCTTGGACTCATCATATACTCTTTTGCGATGGAGCAATTTTGGATGGAAGGATGTAATTACATGATGATTGCTCTTTAGAAGATGGCTAATGCTAGATGTTAGATTGATACATTCAGGGGCGTAGCCAGCTTTCAGTCAGGGGGGTGCGACCAAAAATCCAGGTTTCAGTCAGGGGGTGAACAAGAGATTTGTTTTGAATTTTACAAAAGTTGATGCAACTTCCTTCAAGTGTGAGTTAGAAGCTTCAAATAAAAAGCATTTTGAAGCTCTTCTTCTTTTACCTCATTATTCTATTTTCATTGGTTATGGGATGCGATCGCACCCATGGCATCCCTTTGGCTACGCCTATGACATTTGTTGCCATCATTTAATTCAATAAACAGCATAAATGCTTTCTAGATAAAGGATATTCAAACATTTACGAACTCGACTCCATGTTTAGTGCTGATAAAGAGGTACACAAAACAATCCAAATACTGTACCTTTTCATATTTGGAATATCAATAGTTCAAACATCCAAAACATTTGAATATACCATCAGCTATTTATAGGATATCCTATGATTTTGAGGAATATCATTTTTATCTACGAGGTGATATTGATATCTGCACGAGAGAGCAAAGCAATCAATATCACCGAGTAGATTAAAATGATATTCTGAAAAAATCATAGGATGTTCTTATTATCCTACACTTAAAAGGAGTGTACTAAATGTATAATTATAATATCATTGCAAAATGAATTTCATGCCATTTTTTCGGTCAATTTGGCGGGAAATCAACAAGGGGAGTATATCGTCACTATAT